CTTTAAAAAAATATATATTTTAAATACAAGTTATAACTTAATAGTTTATAACTTTTTTAAATATTACTTTAACATAATAGATAAATAAACCTGTCTTAAAAGTTTGGATGGTTTTTATTGCATAAAATATTGTAATATTCTACTTATGGCATTGACCTTAGAGAACAACAATTTTGATTTTTGACAAAAATTTATATTCCCCCAATCATTGAATTGAAGCAAAGCATATTATCATGTGTGAAGGAAGCTTGAGGCATCATCTCTCAACCCATTAAGGCACAAGCAAGGTAGCTTTCAAAGAAGAATAATGCTATTCATGGTGAACGGCTAAAGAAACGAGGAAAAGCAAAAGCCAAACCTCTCAATTCATATATCCAAACACATTCCCTTTACCCATCAAAAAAGGAACACATTCCCTCCCGCTGTTGCTAGCGAGATGGCCGCATAAACGCAACAAACGATAAAATCCAGATTTCCTTTAATTAGGGGTTTTTCTACGGCGCCATTTGGGGTCTTGCTGTGCATTTGCACCGGTCATAAGTTGTTCACCGCGCGCTCCAAAACCCTTTTCCTTTTTATGCTCTAAAACTCAAAGCCAACACCTTTAATAGGTAAAAGCTTTGGAATTTTCCATTTGGGATTTTGGGTTTTTGACATTTTCATAGATTTTTAAGTACCCAAAGAAAGAACACACTTTGATGGGCAAAATTCCTCTTTGTGGTTTTATTCAAATCATCTCCTTTCTTGGGTCAATGAAAAAACTGAGTTCTTTAATTGAAAAATCAGTGTCTTTTTTTTTAGTTAATGAGTTATTTTGGGAATAAGAAATTAGAATTAAAAAAAAAAAAAATGGAACCTTCGCTTTCTTTTCTGGTGGTTTGTTTTCCAGCAATGGAGTAGGGACTAGGCTTCTAAAAGCACAACTTTTGCTGTATCATCATTGTTGTTTTCATTATTTTTATTGTCGTTAACTCCTCTCCTCCTACATCACACAATTCTTAGCTTTTGAATTTCCACTTTTGTTTTGTTCAGCTCTGCTGCTATGGTTATACTGTTCATCAATCAAAGCAGCATCGGTTTCAATAATTCCCATGCTTAAAGTGGTACCATCTTAATGATGTCGGTCTCTCTTCACTTTCCAAAAACGTATCCACACTGAAATGCATTTGGGTTAGTGTCGATTCTGCTTTCTCTAAGGTGAAAAAGGTAAGTTCTTGGATCATGCTTGCTTGCTGAGGTAACAAGGAGAAGGAGAATTGAAATCTGAATCTTGGGTTTCTTTTCTCTTCTGGAAAAGACTTGAGAAAGAAGGAAAGGTTTCATCTTTCTAGACTCTTAAACAATGGAAAAGCATAGGATTGTATTGTATAATTCGTTCTGTTTTGAGTTTTGGCTGTGTTTACTCGGGAAACAAACAGGGGTTGTCATTTGCTATGTCTTTTAGTGTGCAATAAGTAAAAAAGACGAACTCAAAATGCTTTTGTATTTTTCTGATCTTTCTTGGTGGTTTGTTGCTCAGATCGTCTGAATTGTTCTGCTGCTGTCCTTATGGTAGTCTTTCAGCAGTTAAACTTCTATGATGTGGGTTAGAATGACAATTCTAAATTTCATTTCAAGGTAGAAAATTTCACCACAATTCTCTTTGTCCTTTACAGGTTCAGATTGATTTCAGCTTTCATTTCCTTTAGCTGAAGCAGTTCCTCGTATATCTTTTGTTTTCTTTAGTTCCAACGATGATGATAAAGACGTTTCGTCGCTTGTATCCATTTTTTCCCCTTTTTTATTTTTGTGTCGGTTCTATGATATTCAACACCTTGACCTAGCACATTGACCTGAGAATTTTCTGCAAATTGATGCCTTCACAATATCTCTGTCTCATTCTTCTTTCTCTCTGCCGACACAAAGTTACATAATAATACACTAAATTTAGCGAGGATTTTCAAGGAAGCTTAAGACGTGTGTGGTAGTGTCCTGAGTAAGTTTCTAAGGAGCATGTGATGAGCATGTCCACAGTGAGCCGCTGAGAACATGAAATTTGTTCTTGAAATTGGGCTCATTCTGAGGTGCTCATGAGGTTAAATCCTTTGATTTGGGGTTTCATTATGCAAACGGACGTCAATCTTCTTGGATACTACCTTTGCATATAATTGATTAATGCTTTCCCTTGTAGTAGACTGGTATTGTGTATCATTTCTTCTGCTTCATTGGTATCAGATATCCAAATTCTGCTGTTTTGTGAGAGCGTGAAAAATATACCGAATGGCTCAGTTAGTGTACTCTATGGATTATAGTAATGGAAAACATGGACTATACATATAGCCTGCAAATAGGAAGTGATTTGTGGTTCCTTTAAAAATTTTGTATTTGATAAGAGCTAGCCTTTGTTCTGTCATCTGTGCTTGGTCCTCTAATAGAGGGTTGTATTGTAGCTTAGCATTCTAGTAGTCTAAGTTCTTCTTTTGCCCCCCACTTTCGCTATGTGGTCATCTTTTAAATTTTAATCATCAGATAAATAAACATGTTTTTGATGGGCGGGAGCCTTTCTTTGTTTGGAATAACTTCATTGTTTTACTTTTGACTCTTCTAGTTACACTTGGCTATTTGTGACTTTTCAGGGTATGAACTGTGTCAAATTATATCAGTGGATGCAATAAAAGTTTTTGTTTGTTGAAGGATAAGGAGTAGAAGCTGCAGTAACAAAATGCTATGGTAGATCCACTGGCTGCATGGGAGGCTTTTTTCACCTTTTTTATTTCAATCGAGGCAGCATGGCCCGGAAAATACATAAACATAAAAGACATGATGATGGTAAGCATTAATATTCTCATGTTTGCATTAGTGAGATTTTGTGTGGCACAAAGCCTTAATTTGTGAGATAGCTCTTTGAGAGGATTGTCAGAGACATTTTTCTTGATCAAACCATGCATTTCAGTAATTAGCATAACCATCCAAATTTGCGAGTCTATAATAACAAGTTGCTTGTTCATGTTAATAGCAATGTTTGTTTCTATAGTAATGCAATAGTTGCTTTGGTGTGGTTGTCATCTGTTAAATTCTTGTGTATCTTGCCAATGTCCTAAATAAGAATGGCAGCTCTCCAGAAAACAATTGAGAGAGGAGCTGCAGTAATTTCTTCTTGGTTTCATTTCTTTCTTAGTATAAAAAATAACACTATTAATTTTCCACTGTTCAGGGTTGGAAGCTCCTAGAAATAGCTTGGACCTGCAAGTAGAAACTTCTCAGAGTTACAATGCTATGGGAGATATGTTGGTAATTTTCTTTCTCCCATCAGATTCCTTCTCTGAGTGTAAAGCATTAAGGTGCTCAGATTACTTTTACACTATGCTCTTTGGGTTACATGAGTGTGAATTTAGTTAGTTTCAGGAACCAGTCTTCTATGGTTTATGAATATTCTGGTTTTAACTTTTAGTCTTTTTGTGGGTTTGTTAAGCCACCTGGTTCTTGAACCTTAGTTTACTTAAAATCTTCGATCTTTTTAGAGCAATATGACTTTCTGTGTGTGGTGAACCAAATAAGAGCTATATTAAAGTTTTTACTCCCATTATTCTCCATCTTAATTTGTAAAAATAGTATGTACTTGCATAACCCAGATTTAAATAATATCTTCCAAGAGAGCTGTCATTCTCATGTTTCTTTGTCTTGCTAATCTGGGCTGGAATAAATTCTGAGCAAGTTTCCATGTCTAACATACTTTAGTAAAAAGAATTCTGTGTTATCTCTCACTGTTTTCCTGAGCAAGTTTCCAAGCCTAACATACTTTGTGAAAAGAATTGCGCTTGTTATCTCTCACTGTTTTTCTGAGCAAGTTTCCAAGTCTAACATACTTTAGTGAAAAGAATTCTGTGTGTTATCTCTCACTGTTTCTCTCCATTTAAAAGTTGAAATTTTACTCTCTGAATTTTCAGTACTCTTATCAGGTGGATGAAGACTGGCCGGGGAAGAACTATTATCCAGTTGAGGCTTCAATTAAGAAATTGATTAATGAGGAGATATCTCAACAACCTAAAACCAGGCAAAATGCACCAAGCATTGTAGCTCGATTGATGGGGATGGATACATTGCCAGTAGATACAAAATCTGTAGTACAACCTGCTGAGGAAAAGAACAATAAATTGAGGGTCAAGCATTCTGGAAAAAATGGGAGAAGCACAACTCCTCAGTTGATGTCTAACTCAAACAATTCCAGGCAGATGGAACTTGACTTAATCTATGGTAGTGAAGACAGAGATGCTGATAGATTGAGCACTGGTCAGAACTATGGAAGGCTAAGGCCTCGTGAACATCCCCAAGAGGAGGAGTTGCAGAAGTTTAAGAAAGAATTTGAGGCATGGCAAGCAGCAAGGCTTAGGGAATGTTCCAACATTGTTGGGCTTGGAAGTATTGGGAAGCAGGGACTTCCTGAAAAGAAATCCAACAAGGAAAAGATTACAACTTATGCAAATTTTGGGGAAAAAATGAGTGACAAACCCATAGAACCAGATGGTTTTATCTTAAAAGCAAGTTCACATGAAAGAAGTGGTCTACATCATAACAGACATAAAACGGAGCACTTCCAAGATGACCAAAGGAAATGGTTTCCATCAAGAAGCCGAAGCATGAGTGCAGACTTTGAGCAGTCTTCCATGATGGATTATGATGGAAAACTGGATACTGCTCCAACAAGGATAATAATATTGAAGCCTGGTCCTGATAGGTTTTGTGACCATGAAGAGTCTCTGACCAGTTCCTCAGGTACTTTAGAAGAAAGGGGCAGCATGGAAAGTTTTCTTGAGGAGGTAAAGGAGCGGCTGAAACTGGAACTGCAAGCTAAAACTCTTAAAAGAAGTGCTCTGGTCAGAGGAAGTGGAATTGAAACCCCTTTCAGTGAAAAGCCATCAGATTCAAAGCAAATTGCTAGGGATATAACAAAACAGGTCAAAGAAAATGTTAGTAGGGATATTGGAACGAATTTTCTCCGTTCAGAATCAACAAGATCATACAGAAGTGAAAGTCAGTTCAAGGGACCAGGTTCCCCAGATTACATCAACGGAGATACAAGGAGATTTTTGTCAGAGAGACTAAGGAATATTCTGAAGCAAGAAACACATTTGGATGCTCCTATGTGTGCCGGTGGCAGCTCTAGATCATCTATGTTTGACAACGGAAGTAACATAAGACAAATGCAAGAGACAGTAAAGTTTGGAAATGAGAAGAGTTGCTGGGAAATTGTGAGAGATGAGCAAGAAATGCAAACTAGATCTTTCAGGCATGGAAATGACAATGGAGTGCTCCTAAGGGAAGTGTCTCCTAGAAATCTCATAAGGTCTTTGTCAGCCCCTGTATCAGGAACATCATTTGGAAAGCTTCTTTTAGAGGATCGCCATGTTATAACCGGTGCTCAAATCAGGAGGAAGCATGAAGGCATTGATAATGTTTCAGTAGATGTAAGAAAAAGGAAGAAAGAAAGGTTTAACTTTAAAGAAAAAGTTTCAAGTATCAGGTATAGTTTCACTCTTCCACGGAGGCTGTTTGGGAAGAAAATTCAATCAATGGTGGAATCAAAAAATGCTGAAAACAACCTTCTAAAGGATATCATGAGTGGGCCAACTGTAATCATGAACTTTACTGAGAGACTTGTAAGAGCATCTATCTAGTTTCCTTGATAAATTTTTAGAGAATATGATATGTGCTCCAATCTCTCACACTTTTATAATCAGCATATCCTTTGTCATCTGCTATTAGGAGAACTCTACTGAGGTGCCCCCCAGTCCTGCATCTGTTTGCAGCAGCACTCATGAAGAAATCTGGAGGCAAGTTGATCATCTCAGTCCCATATCAACACCTGATACAACTGCAGGGGAAGAAAATGCTATAGCACAGGTTTTCAAAGAGATTAGTTCCGACTTGAATGGTATAGAAACAGTTTCCTTTATTCTTTCTTACATAAAGTGTATACTAGCAAGTGCATTTATCTTACCTCAGTGTAAGCTCAAACTTGAGAAATCACTTATTGCATGGTTAATCAATCGAATATATGGGAAGATATTGGGAGGATCTCAGGATCACTCTAAGGATCCTGCTTTTTATAATCTAATGCCGCAGAAACCACTCCATAAATTTTATGGATTTATCCTGTTTACGTTAATATTTGAAATGTTTAGTGAGATCATAGGAAGACTCAGTATAACATTCTTCAGCCTGATGTAAATATATGTATGTTTTTCTTTTGTATCACACTAAGTTTTAACTTGGCTTGCATGCATACCAGTTATCAATTTGACTACATCTGTCTTTGTCTCTTAAAATTATTATATCACAAACAGATTGCTTACCTGTTGCATAGCAATTTTCTCATTCTGATAGAATTTCTGTTTGGTGCTTATTAGAGCTGCAGAGGCAATTGCACGAACTTGAGCCTGATAGCAGAGAGGAGAGAACAGTTGAAGAGGAACCTATAGAATCTGAGACAATGGATATTGAGGACGAGGCAGAATCTTACATAAGAGATCTGCTTGTTGCTTCTGGTTTGTATGATGGAAAATCTGACAAATTGTTTTCTAGATGGGATCCACTTGCAAAGCCTATCAGCAACACTGTCTTTGAACAAGTTGAAGAATCTTATAGAAAATTGTCTAAGGAAATTGAGAGCAATGCAATTGATCACAATGAGAAGAAGGTGGATGTAGATCATAGAGTGTTGCTTGATTTGTTGAATGAGGCACTTTTGACAGTACTTGGACCACCCGTAACCATGTCTAAATTCAGAAGAAAGCTGATCAGTTCCTCCACATTGCCAGCTCCACGCAGAAAGAAGTTATTGGATTCTGTGTGGAAGATTGTTCATGTCTATTTATACCCTCCAACTGATAGATCCAATTACACCATTGATGGTATGGTGGCCCAAGATTTAGAATCCACTCCTTGGTCTGGTTTGATGGATGATGAAACCAATGTTTTGGCAACAGAGGTGGCATGCCACATACTTGAAGATCTCGTTGAGGAAACCACAAAGCATATGCATTTATGATGGTGCGGAGATAAAATGGCATTCTACATTCTGGCTCATCATTCTTATGACTCAGCTGGTTAGATGCAAGTAGGGAGACACAATGGAGGCAGGTATTAGAAGTAGTGCAAGCCGTAAATATGGAGGTAAGGTATATATAAGTGATTTTACAGGGTGAAATCCTAACTTGGGATTGACATTTGTGCTTTATACAACTTAATGTAGATTGGGATTGCTATTCTTGCACATATTTTGTCTGTGGGTTTTGTCATATAGAAGTTCATTGCTGGTATACATACCACACATGACTGCTTGTGTAATAAGAGGATTTTATCATCATTTGGTTTACATATGAATGCAATTTTTGGGGTTTTTTCTTTTTAACCAAAGATAAATGATTTAATTCTTCACATGAGATTCAGAAAGCTCTGGGAACAGGAACTCAGGAAGCATCATTGCATACTTAACAAATCACCTACATGCATATATACATACACTGATACATATGCTTCCATGCATCCATCCATGCATACATACATATCTGGAGTAAAGTCAGGATACAGATTGGCAGATTGGACATAAGGGCTGACCTCAGAAAAAACAGCAGCCACTTGGACCACTGAACCTTGTCCGGTTGAAGATTAAGGGCAATTAGGTCAACAAAAATTTCCTAGCTTTGAAAAGTTTCATCAAAATAATCATTCCAAGCCTAAAGAGAAGGGCAAATTATAGAACAAGACAAGAACAAGATAAATAAATAAGAAAAAAAAAAAGAAAAGGAAAAAAAAAATCAAAGGGAGAGAATTGGAAGATCTCCCACTATAATTCAGAATCTTGTAAGAATAAAGCACAAAAGAGATGGTAGGGTAAATCAAACTTGACATTTTCCTTTCTCAAAAAAAAATAAAAAAAGAGACCTTGACATTTTCCCCAAGATTCATCTAGATAAGGATTCATGGGCTCTCTATAAAGGATTTCTAGATGAGCTCCATGATTGATTTTGTTATGTACCCAAGAAAAACCAAAATTAGGAATTGAGAATTCAAAAGAATTTATATCATGATTTTCACTCAAGATTTATTTTTAATTATATAGTTTATGAGATGGGTACAAGTGCTATTTTTTGTCACTTACTCAACTAAAATTTGAAAATTTTTAATTCTATTTTCCTTTCTTACTCGTCAAAAATTATACTTTATTCAAAAAAAAAAAAAGAAGAAAAAGAAAAACTTGACATTTTCCCCAAGATTCATCTAGAAAAGGATTCATGGGCTCTCTACAAATGATTTCTAGATGAGCTCTATGCTTATTTTTTTTATGCACTCAAGAAAAATCAAAATTAGGAATTGAGAATCTAAAAGAATTTAAAAGAATTTATATCAAATATTTCATTTGAAATTTTTATTTTTTTATTGCATGACTTATAATTACATCAATTAAAAAAAAAGTTAATTGAAATTTTTATTATTGTATAACTTGTCACGACATTCGATTAAAAAAAAAAAGTTTTAAAGACGTGTTAGGTAAAGTTAAAGTCAATCTAACATAGTGAAAAGAACTGATTTTCTTGAGTGCGACATTATCGCCAAAATGGGTCCCCACACTTGGCTGATTTTGAACAAATTAAGCAGGCTTATAACGAAAGCAATCTCTCTAAATCTTAATTAATTAGTTCTTAATTATTAATCCTTCCCCCATAACCTGATCGCCTTTGTGGGTACAATAATTCTTATCCCACTCTTTTGGACACAACTACTACTGTAATAGGTCAGTTAGTAGTTCCCTACGGACTAGGACTAGGACGAGGACCAGACACCAATCCAGGTCGGGCATAATTAACTGTAATTTTTATGTCGCCTTCGATTGTTGACCCGGCAGTATTGCTGCAGATGCACATGCAAATATGTTAAAATACTAAGATTAAGTTATCTAATCAACCGTTAATAAGAAGAAAACAAAAAAAAAAAAAGAAAAAAAAGTGATGTTATAGAGGTAGTATTTTTATATTATATTTTAATATAATATTTTTATGTTATTAAATAAGTAAATACATTTAATATTATAAGCGTTATATAAATAAAAAAATTAATTATTTAAATAATACGTGAGGTTGTATCAAAATATATTATAAAAAATTATCTTAAAATCATTTAAGAAAAGAAAGAAGTTACATTTCCATTCATTGATGGGGTTGGTCAAAAACCTCAATGAATTCCAGGAGACACAACCAAAATCCGGGATTACGCCCCAAATACATGTAACCTTCAATTTTCCATATGGTGTTGTGATGGGACAGAGGAGTTTAGGGGTCACACGTATGAAGAATCAGGCCATGTTATCATTATTTTTATTATTTTAATTTTTGAAAGTTTTAAAATTAATTAGGTTTTGTATTAAATTTATTAATAAATAAATATTATCTTATGTTATTATTAAAAAATAACATAAAAATTTATTCTCAAAATTACTTTAAAAATTAATTTTGAAATATACACAAACTAATTTAAAAATATGTTGACTATAAATTTTTTATAAAAAAAAAAACCCACTTCCTAATTTGATTAAAAACTTGCCATCAATAATAAGAGTAAAAACTTTGCAAAGAGCTACTTTTTATTGAGTTTATCTAAATTGTATTATAAGGGTATAAGTTAAAAATATATTAAATACATATTTTTGTCATAAATTTATATTAAAAAATAAAAATTAATTTTTAATTTATCAATTATCCATTTAAATTTATTTGATATTAAAATTAACATTAACTTTTACATTTTTTACATACATTTATAATAAAAAATATAATAAATATACTCTTATTTTATATCCTTGAAATACAAGATAAAAAAATTCAATTATATTTTTTTCCTTAAAAATCAAATTTGGTGTAACAAAGTGAAAAGTTAAATATTTTACCGATTAAGTTAGAATTCATCGGTAAAAACCTACCTTTAGCTCCTTACTTTACTAAATTTAAGGGTTTTAGCCATTCACATTATATTATAACACTTTTAACTCCTCATCTTATTAGATTTATAGATTTTATACCCTCACCTATTAAAATCGAAGAAAATAATCCTTATTTTATATTAATTGTTAATTTTATTAGTTGAAAATAAGTTTTTGTCAACTAATAGTCAGTTAATAAAATAAACGAAATATTATAAAATTAGTTCTGTTAATTTTATTAGTTAAAAGAACGCTTTTATCAACTAATAGTTAACTAATAAAATTAATAGTCAGTCAACAGAACTAAAAAAATGTTATAAAGTGATGACTATTTTCTTCAATTTTAATAGGTGAAGGATTAAAAATATCATAATATAAGATGATAGGTTAAAATTTATAAATTTAATAAAGTAAAAAACTAAAAATATCATAATAAAAAATAATAGGTTAAAATTTTTAAATTTGATAAGGTGATGGATTAAAAGTAAGTTTTTGCCGAATTCATCGCTGTTTTGTCCTGTTACTTAAAAAGCATGAAATAGAACAATAGAAGTATGAAGAAAATGACCAATTTAGGGAAATTTGGGTGTTGGTTAGCGGACCAAGACAGAGATCTAATGTTTAAGCGACACGCGGTTCCTAGAAAAACGTGCCAATCATTAAAATAAAATGTTGGGGGGAGGGGAAGTAAAAAATTCTGACAGAATTGAGAATCCAGATGTTGTCCTCTGAGAGAATGTCAGAAAGAAACAGAAACGCTCTTTTTTAGTGGCGTTTAAGGCAGACACTGTTCATGTTGACATGGTAACTGTTCAATGTTGTGGTAGTTAGTTACCTTTAACCCTACTTTAACCATAACTGTCCAACAAACTCAAATAGACCTGTTTGGTTTAGAGACCTTTTCCCCTAAAAAAAAATTCATTTGGGAAATTTTGTAATCATTTGCAAAGAAGTTTTGTTTAGATTGTTTATTTTTTACTTATTTAGTACCCATTTGTTTTGGAGGTTTTGAAGGGACTTATAGCTATTGGGTTATAATCAACTAAACATGGGTTTTTGGATAGGATTTTTATTAACAATTAAAAATTAGTTAATAATCATTAAATTTTTCATCAGTTGTGTTTTTCAACAGTCACGACAAGTAAATATTAGGCTTAAAAGTATTTGAGGATTTTTTTTTTATTTATTCAATTACTTATATACTTTTAAATTTAAACTTTCAAAATTTTTTTACCAGATTCTTAGGCTGTTTCAATTTCTCTTTTTAATGAAACTAATATTAATATAACTAATTTCAAATAAAAAAAACTAATTTAATTAATATTAAATATATATCTTTAATAATAATTTAACATTATTAGAAACAATTAATAGTTCATTACCAAACACTACTTGCAAATAATAAATGTTATTAATTATCAGTTATTAGTTATTAATTATTGATCATTAACCAATTATACGTTGAATTTCAATCGTCAATCCAAATGGGTCTTTAATGAGAATTACCATATAAAATTCTTCTTTTATAGTTTGATTTAGATGAAAGGGGACAATTTCTAATATTATAATTTGTTTATATAATAATTTAAATTATGTACTTCAAACATGAGAATATTACCTTTTTATACTTACATGTATAGAGTATAGTATTATTTTTTTTTTTTGGTAAAAAATTTATCAATTCTGTCTAAAAAAGAAAACTGTCCCATGATAATATTTATTGATAACAAATCTTTAAAGGTAAACTAGCAGTAGCTTTTCTAAGCTCATTTCATTTGACAAAATGTATAAAGCAGTATGAAACTATGAAAACATTCGTTGAGTATGGTTATTGCGAGATAAACAAAATCATTGTCATTTTCCAGGAAATGTTGAGTAACCAAACACCTCCTTAAATATAAAAGAACAGTGTGTAAGAAAAGACATGCCTTGCTAACGTACGCAGCCAGGGACACCGAAGCCTAACCGCACCAAGAAGTGTATAGCACTTTTCTTTTTCCATGCCTACTCGTTTTTTTGTCTGTTTCTCACTTTTCTCTCCTTTTTTTTTTTTTTTTTTTTTTTATTCACTCAGGGTTGGGACTGATTTTCTATTCTTCTTGAGAGATACCGTGATGAGCTTGAGAGCATGATGGAATGGGAGAACCAGGAGCACCAAGAGAACCAGTCCAGGAGGGATGGTGGTGTCGATGTTAATGTCAACAATGGAGGAGGAGTAATGTATGTGAAGGTCATGACAGATGAGCAGCTGGAGACTCTCCGGAAGCAGATTGCGGTTTATGCCTCCATTTGTGAGCAGCTTGTTGAGATGCACAAAAACCTCACTGCCCATCAGGATCTTGCAGGTCTTTTATCTCCCTCAGACATTTTCACAGTCATCATACATGCAAAAATTCTTCCTTTTTCTTTTTCTCTGTTTCTGGCTATGAACTTGATGTTCAATCTTTTCTGGGTTTTTTTTTTCTTTTTTCTTTTTTGGTGGTGCTTGACTATGGGTGTCTCTTTTGTGGGGGAATTAGGTTAATTTTGTTTGGCTAAGTCTGGTTTTTTTCTAGGTTCTTTGCCTTTTTTGTTATTTTTACATAAATGGAAATGGGCACTTCAGGTTTGATGGGTATTTTAAAAAAGTTTTCATTTTGGTCTTGAATTTGTAATTTGAAATACACGAGGCTATGATTTGTTCTTAATTGTCTCAATTCCTTCGTAATTAGTTTGGCTTTTCTGTTTCTTCAAGCTCGATCTAACCTAGTACAAGTGTCCTTTAAATGCATCCATTTTCTGGGACTCGGCTTTAAGCTGACTATTAAGCTCTTTTTTCCCTTTTTCTTTTTCTTTTTTTTTTCTTTTCTTCTTCTTTTCTTTTTCTTGTGTATAATTGTTTATAATTAAGTTGGTTGTTAGGTTGATTTATCAGTGCAATCTTTTTCATATTTAATGGTGTATTTTTCTGGTCAAAAATATTTTCATCATACTCCTGAATTTTCCTTTATGAGCAAAAAAGACTTGTTTTTGGCTATTTCTTGCTATTTTGTAGGGAAATTCAGCTGATCTAAACAAAAATTTTTCTTTTTTGGTTACTTTTAACAATTCTGGAAATATGATGCTTTTGTTGAAGTTTTGGAAAGATTTTCCAGATGGCTTAGATGCTTGATTGACATCACTGATTCTGACCTTCAGTGTTAGCTTCCCACCTAGGAGTTAGATTGGGTATTAAAAGAAACTCTCTTTTTCTTGCAGGAGGTAGGCTTGGAAATTTCTATTGTGACCCTTTATTGACATCTGCTGGGCACAAAATTACTGCTAGACAGCGGTGGACACCAACACCTGTTCAGCTTCAAATTCTGGAACGTATCTTCGATCAAGGGACTGGAACTCCGAGCAAGCAAAAGATCAAAGAAATAACTTCGGACCTTAGTCAGCATGGCCAAATTTCTGAAACAAATGTCTATAACTGGTTCCAAAATAGACGTGCTCGGTCTAAACGGAAGCAACTTGTTTCATCCTCTAACAATGCTGAATCAGAAGTAGAGACAGAAGTTGAGTCTCCAAATGAGAAGAAGACCGTTCCAAAACCAGAGAATCTTCACCTTCAACAGAACTCTGCTCCCACGGCTGAAGATCTTTGCTTCCAGGGTCCTGAGATAACATCTGATCTGCATTTCTTGGGTGTTCTTTCGAATCCAAGTAGGTTCACCTGTTGACATTTCGTCCTTTCTTTATCATCTTGCTATATATAAACAGAAGACTTGGCACATTGATGTTAGTGTCAAGATACCACTGAGTGTTCTGCTATGCAGATAATCTATCATTTACCATCTTATTTAGGAACTACGGATATACATCATGAACAAAAAATGGCCCTAGAACTGCAGTCTGGAGGTTTTTATTCATTTTCCTGACATTTATTCTTCTTAATGCTTTTTGGTCACATGAATCGACAGAGAAGAATGGTACGCTACTATTGGCATCTGCATTTGTGAGAGTATTATTGCAGGAGGTATTTTAGCCGTCTAGAGATGATATTGTAGACACTAGCTTTGGGGCTGTCTAATGCCTGATAATAGAATGGATCACAACCAGGAATAGAAATTGCATGAGTTTGTCGATGCTGAAGGATATAGTAGAACTGTTGCTAAAGACTTACTTCCGTGCTTAATCAATGCAGGAGATGGCCATCTGAATGGAAAAATGGGATTGCCAGGGGGCTATAATCTCTATGACCAGGCAGAAGATTATGGTATGGCATGATGATGAGACTCAGCTTCACATGCCATCTTAGTAAAATCTGTTCAACAAAGTCATTATAATGACTGGAAGACAATTCCCACGACCACGAAGTCCATGCTTAACCTAGTGATTCAATATTTGTAGTTTGAAGATTACCCAGAAACTTATTTTTAGTTGGACATGCTTAACAGTATATGATTTTCTTTTGTCTATTTGAATCTTGATATGCTGATTTGAGTAGCTTTCATTTTGTATATTGTTAATACTCCCTACTCTACTATGCTTTAAGAAGTCCTTGTGAAATGACAATGATTCTTGATTTTATTGATTGCTTGGTTTGCAAGGTAAGGGTTGGATGATGCCAACCTACTTGTCTTTTTTACTTTGGAATGCAAATTTTGGGTGGTTGTTGTGATGTAGAAAACTATGAAATCAAATCATTGGCTTTGGGGAAAATGTTGCCATTTTAACAAAGTTTTGAAGTGTGGAGGGTAAATTACTTAGCTTAAATGGTTGTGTTTCTATTTATGGCTACATCTTTTTGCCATTTTCTTGTTGGGGAATAACCGTCTACGCAATAGTGGAAGCCTTAATGAATGATTGCTATGGATCCCACTGTTAATCATTTTGCTTTATTCACTAAGGTGAAATGTCTATATTCGTACAAATGACCCGATAATTACTTCTTTTAAATAGTTCAAGTTTCCGAATTTAAAGTCATAAATAAATAAATAAAATAAAATAAAAGCAATTTGTTTACTTCATAAATTTCTTTCTAATTTTTTGAACCATTTTTTTAATTTGTGTTTTAAGAGCATTACTTAAGTGTATAATTAATATATTTTTTTAATGTAAATTAGTGTTGAAAATAACAAAAATTAACACCAATTTCATCACTTATACCATGCAAATTATTTTAATTGAATAATTGGTTAAAAAATCTCAACTTTTATTTTTTTCAATAACAGTATTGAAAAAATATTTTTCACTTGCCAATTAAAGTACATGTTAAAAAACTCTTTTTTAAAAACTGACAATAAAGTCAATCTCTTTTCCACATTTTTTCAACTTAAAATGTAGAGTAATCCAAGCAACTGTCCTTTTCCCTTTTCTAACTTTATGTTTAAGTCAAGGGAAATGGAAAGAAGGAAAAATTTTCCCATCCATTCCCATACTCTTCCTTCTCCAACTAAATTAAAAGAAAAAAAATAAAACGAAAGAAAATTTTCACCTCCCCTACCCTCTAACTTTTTTGATAATTAAATAAAAAAATCCCTTTTCTCTCCCCTCCCCTCAATTGAAACATACTATTAACTTCAGTTGGACTAGGGCTGGAAGCTGGATAATAAAAAGGAATCTTGTAAAAAATTAAAAACCTTATTTTTTGCCTTTGGGCCTAATGGCCCATAGTTACTATTTGGGCTTCCGACGATCCAACTTCAAAAGACAGTTCAGCCCATTAGTTGGGAAAAAATGGGCAAAAAAGAGATAGGCAAAACTCACTTTTAATCCCTCTCCGGTCTCGATCTTCCCGTCCGGAACCGCTATTTTCCGCCTCGTAATCACCGACTCACTGATGTTGCATACGCCGCGCCACCGCCTCAATTCCGGCTGTCGTGGATTCAACGCTGGGGACTCCCTAAACACTTGTTTCGGGTATGCAACCTTGCAATTGAATGACTGATTCTTCCAATGATTCATTTCTCTGTCTCTATATGCATAACAAGGGCATGCTTGGTTTATTAATGAGGGGTTTTTCCTCCATTGATGCAGGTCTAACCTTTAACTATTTCCTGCATTTGGGTGTAGAAGATGGGCGAGTTCTCCATAGCTAATTCACCATATACTTACATAAACGACTCTGATTGGCCTTCCGAAGCAGTCGGAGTTCACCATGTTGTTGTCCGGAAGAGTTTTCTACGGAGACTCTGTGTACCCCTAACTGCTGTTTCTCTTCTGGCAAATTCTGTATATCTGTTCCTTGTAAAGGTATGAGCTTGACTACTATAATTTTCGTTCGTCTAACTTTTCAGTTCAATCATCTGTATGCTTTTTGATGTGAGTAGAAATTGAATGAAACTTGGATTCTGTAGCTACTTTGTAATTGATGATTGCCCGGCATTATTGTAGCTCTTTTTACTGGCAAAGTAAAGGGTCTCTTAGAAATACTTCTGTTATGTTTGTTGAAATGGGATTTCTGTTTAATGTTTGGCAAATTGACACTTTCATAAGTTCATAGTAGGGCTGGTGATTTCTGTAGGTATCTGACATATTGGTTGATCATGTCAATTAATAGGAACAATCGGTATCTGTTCTTTGCTGGAGCTTTCTCTTGACTGGATTCCTACTCATATTGTCTCTTTGGAAGCCTGTTTATAAAGGTGAGACTCTGTCTAGCTGTTCTTTTTGTGATCTTCTGAGAAAACTCGTTAAAACTTCTAATGGAAGGGACAAGAAGAGTATATTATCTCTGGTTTGAATGTGGAAATATGTTCCTGTGTTCTTAATCAATTTTTTGAATTAACATGCCAGAATCTGTCATTATTATGCCAGCATTTGGAGTTCAGCTTGAAACTCATTATTCAAGGTAATTCTCTGAGTTTCCTCCCTTTCATGCCAAAATTTATTTGGGAATGAAAGTGAAGACCTTCAGCTATTTGTTTAATAGCTTAGTGCATATTGGATTATATGTCGCCTTAGAGTTTGGTGATTTTTCTTTTAATGCTATTTATGAAAGAGATAACGTAGGAAGTTCATGGCCTCTGAAAAAGAAAAAAAGTTGTGTTGTTAAATTCCAAACTTATTTGGGCAAATGGGAATGATGCCCACTGATACACTATATTTGTATTTTACTTAGGCTTTCAGTATAAGGCTTCAACTCTCTTTTTTCCTTGTAAACCTCAGAATCTTCCTCAGAGATTTCTAACTTTCCACAGACATTATCTAGAAGTCAACCTTCTCTTTTCACATAATTGAAGTTAGCTATTACCAATTAGTTTAATCCATCACATGAAACACTACATCTCTTTAGCCATGTATTTTCTCAGATAGTGGTAGACTAGTAGCGATAGTATCAGTACCATCAGTTGTTTTATTCTTTAGTTTATTCCATTGCAGTGGAAGAATTGTTCGCAGTTTTGTTCCTGTAGGCAAGATTTTGAAACCTGTGTTGCTGGAGTGTGTGACTCCTGTAACTTGTTACTGGAGCCTCTCTTTGATTGTACGAGGGGAAGAAGAGCTGATGTTGGTATTTAAGGTAAAGCAACAAAACTTAATTCATTTTATACTCCTGAACTTTCCTGAAATGAATCAAAAAACATATAAATGACATGAAAATATGGAATGTATCCAATTTAGGTGCTTCTAAGTGAAAGCGCATTGATTGACAAGTGATGACCCTAGACGCAGTACAAAGATAATAATGGGAAATTATTACAAACTGTACTTGTTCATGGATGTTTTGGGCAGGGTTCTACATTGAATAAATGTACCATACGCTTAAGTATCATTTTGGGTGCTTAATTTATCTTTGAATCTTGATTCCATTGTGAAGGAGCTCCATCCTCCATTGAAGATTTTGGTTCCCATCTGGAAGGCCTTATGTGCTGCCATTGATTACAGAGGAAAGCCAGATGCATTTAGAGAAGATGGTTGATGCCACAGAAGGTTTCTCATTAGCAAATGTGATGCACAAGACTTATCAACGAAACACGTGCAGAGTCTCACCAAGCTCAATAATTTATCCATTCCATAGAAGATCATGATTGCTTTAAGGTGATCTGCAAGCTTTCCATCTTAATGCTACAAACACAAGGTGACAAACAACACCTTCACCTTCATAAGCTTCAAAAGAGCCTAGGGTCACAACTCACAATTGCCACACTGCACTTAATTGTGTGACAGACCTTGGGCTTGATGTACTGTATTATTCCAGGTTTTTTTTTCCTTTTTTTGCCAGCAAACATAAGCATTATTCCAATTTCCAAGTGAGTTTTTTACTTGTGGTTCAGGTGCATTGGCTTGGAAAGGGTTCCTCCTACTATTCCAAAGATGAAAAGGTCAAAAAAGTGAATATCTTTTTCCTGTCTGCTCCAGTAATTGTGTAGAACTCTGATCTTGGTGTCCAATATTACTACGTTGAAACCAACCTTAGTGGCTGTATACTAGTTCACGCGTTTTGCCGACTAATGCTATCATTTGAGATTAATGTTGTCATTCTTTTATCATCAAATCAATGCTAACAATTTTTTCAAATTAAACACGAAGGATTTATTGAAGACCAGAATTGTGTAATGTTTTCCAGAAGGAGATGGTTGCCTGCATATGGTCCATATTCAAGAGGACCAAGACAGGATAACAAAGTACCTTAGGCTTAGACACAACATGACATCCATGGTACGTTGGAGTAAATAGCAATGACTCCGTGGTTAAGGAACAGGAAACTGGAGTCTTGTAAAAAAATGTAAACACTGAAATAAATTAAGAAATAAAAAAAGGTATTTTCAGATGACCACAGCTTGAGAAACGTAAAATTCTAAGTAGTAATAAAAAAAAACCCCGAAAAAAAAAAAGAGTATTTGCGTATGGTTTTCAAGAAGCACAACCAATCAAAATTCTTCCACACATAAATATATAACGCAAGGATCTTGATTTCTCAATAGTCTGATTTCCTCCCTCATAAAAAACCCTAATTCTATTTTCACTCTTCTCTCCTCTCCTCTCCTCCTCTGTCTCGTCCCAATCCATAACCCATGATCAGGTATTGAATAAAAATTCAACCTTTACACCAACCCTGTTTTTGAAGTGTCTTTTTACGTTTGAATTGTTTGAAATCTGATTGAATCCTGCTTCTAGCATTACAGATTGACGTTCACTTCGATGTAATTCTCTGCTTTCAGTTTTGTGAAGGGATGAATTTGTGCGTCTTTATGAGTTTTTTTGGTTTTGTTTGAATCGATGTGATCTTGAATTATGTTGCAGACAAGGTTTAGCATTGTGCTTGAATATACCATCTGGTTTTGAAGACGTGGAACCAATTCTGGAACTTTAGTTACCCTGATTGTGTGAGAATTTAGGTGTGTCTATTCTGACTTTGATTCTGATATAACAGAAACTGTGGGGTTTCAATTTGAAGTCTTTTTTCCCATTCATGGCTTCTTGGCAACGGATGAAGCATTATTGGACTCTGATTTATTTTTGGAAACTGGTTGAATTGATTTTGGTTTTGAGACAATACTTTGATGGGTTTTTT